ATACAAGCACTGCACGATCCAACGATGCCGGGAGACCATTAGGGAACTAGTTTGACGCGGCTGGGGCGATGCTGTCCGCTGGTGGAGATCACGCAAGCCGACGGGCAGGTCGGCGCCGGAAGGGGGAAGTCCCACTCTGTAGGTCAGAATCACTGACACCTTCCGGGATAAAAATATGCATTACACTACGGGTTATTGACTTTAGCTGTTAACGCGTCCGCGAATCCATCTATAAACATATAGAGACTATATCTTTGTGAAATGCCATTAAACGTGTAATTATTACTTCCTGGAGTTCTTGAAAAATAGTGAAGTAACAAAGAGGAGAGAAGTTTAGAGGCGCCCCTTTTTACCTCGACTCCACAGGAATGTTTACTACCTACGCATTCCAATTTATTTATTTACTTATTTATTTATTTTCTGGAAAACCTCTCTGGTGGTCACGGTGCTTGCTAGATTTCCGTAGGGGTGCGATTCCCGGTTGAGACAAAAAGAGAGTTGTTACTTTTCATTAAAATTGCCTCAGTTTCTTTAACAGTGTGAAGAAAGAATGTAGCTTAGGCAGGCCAAGAACACTAGATACGATAAAGGAAATTCATATACGCCACACTTCTCCCTTAATTCCAAGCGTGGACAATGAATAAAAACAGGGCCCAGACATGGGTAAACCACTAGCTGATCTAAGTCGTCAGACCCTGTAGTGAAGCGTTTAGTTGCATGTATACATTTTTAACATTAAGGGTTTTCTTTCACAAAGAAATCTTTTTTTTTTTCCACTCAACCAAATTTAGAGGTTTCTACTTTTTCGCCCTTACGAATATAAGAAGAGAACATAATGTAATCGTGCGCCGTAAAACAGCGAAATTTCGACAGAAAAACTCTAACTCTGGGACTCTCCTAACGAAAAAATGGATAAATCTTGTTCCTACGTAGAGTAAATTACTTCCAGTGCGTGCTGTAGCCAGAATCCAGGTTTTATGGGCCCTTAATACCGAAAAATCGATTGACGGTAAAACTTGTCTGTCCGTCCTTCCATTTGCCTTCCCGCTTATTGTCAATGCTAACACCTAAATCGTTCAGCCGATTTTCTCCAAAATTGATTTTCCCAATCGAATTTGAAACTGGTATTTTAATTTAGGGGGTACTTTCATGAAGCCCCTGAGACATTTTCAAAACTTCCAAAAAATGGTACCAATTTTTTGAATTATTTTTGTTGTTGGGTTTAAGGAAATTAAAGAGAGCGATGTGGATCTGATTTTCGTTGAAATCCCAGATTTTCGAAAACAGCAGAAGTCCTGTTTTTTCGCTGTCTTCTACAACTAAAACATTAAAGGCAGGCATTTTTCCTTGACAAAATCTGTTTCGTAAAGCCAGACTTTTGAAAAACGGTCAGGCACGATGATTTGAAAAATTGAGTACTTTTCGAGTAATTTTGCTCAAAATATTACTTTTGTTTAAAGATTTTTTTCCAGAAACAGCACCAATTTTTTTAAATTAAATTTTGACCTTGGATATCGTATAGGGCGCTTAACAGAATGGTGCAGGTCGTTGAAAATACTAATTTTTTGGATATAGCAAAAATTTAAACATTTTTTCATTGTCTTTCTACAACTACAATTATGAAGTTAACAGTTTTCCTTAATGACCGAGCGAAGTGGCTCAGTGCGCTGACTTCGCAATCGGGAGGTCCGGGTTCGATTCCCGGGCCGGCCATCCTGACCGGGGTTTTCGCGGTTTCCCTCGGTCGCGAATGCTGGGATGGTTAAAAAGTGCACGATCACTTTTCTCCATAATCCTATCACCTCCTAATATAACAATAACAATAATGATAACTATAATAATAATAATAATAATAATAATAATAATAATAATAATAATAATAATAATAATAATAATAAAAATTCGCAGCGTGGGCAAAGTTACTAGCGTCTGTGGTCTACCACACGTGTCCCCTGGGTAACGCTAAATGAGCGAGAGTGATTCGCCACCTACGCGCTTGACCATTGTGGGCGTGCGGATCCCTACAAGTTGAGGGGAAAGTCTGCGCATCTATACTGAAACCATTTGTTGAAAGAGCAAAGTAATACCGAGGTGATGAATTTGGAATATTTATTGCTTTGAGTGTTTCATTCAGGTCCTAGACCCCATTCGAATTTCTAAGATTTATCTTCATTCCGGTTCGAGCCGCCGAGGCGAACACTTTAGCAGCTGAGGCAGCTCGTATCTTACGTTGAGGCAGCGTTGTCGGTGCGCTCTCGACCTCAGTGAACATCAGGAAAACCCATCACAGATCTTGAGTTTCAACGGCAACGAGTACTCCAAATCAAACAAGAAGAAAAGTTTTGGCTTTGGCCACGGAACAGAGGAGAATATCAGGTACAACATACCAGGAAGTTCACGTTATGAATTGCTTCGAAATTTAGACAATCGTGCTAAACATTTCTGAAAGTGATAAAGCTGTAATAATTCCACCAATATTCATTCATAATGTTAACGACTACGGTTATCTACATCTAGTTAGTTATATAAAAAAGTAGCAGAAAACGATTTTACTATTAAACAACAAAAATATTTTTATCAAGTGAAATTTGTAACAATTGAAGACTACAGAGGTTACAGAAAATTTTGCGATGAAAATAATATACAATATCATTCCTTCAGAAATCCCTGTCATTCCAAGCTCTCAGTTATAATTTATGGTATACCTGTAGTTTACTCTCAGAAATAAATATTTGATGAATTAGCAAGACTTACGTACTCAGTAATCGGCGTAACAAGGCTATATAACAAAAATATTTATATATAAATACAAACTCTGGGGTCCTGTGCTGTAGATTTAATGGAAACTGAAAATGCTGAATCAATATTTAATGAAACTAAATTATTTTATTCTGGAATTAAAGTGCGGATGGGAAGTGCTCCAAACAAAGTAATACAATGTAAGCGTTGCCAGAAATTCAAACACACCCAAGCAAACAATAAATTAAGTCCAAGGTGTGTTCGTTGTGATGTATCCCATCATTAGTCCCATTGTTAGTCCCATTTTCGGCAAACTCCGAATTTTAGAAAATTGCAAAAAATAACATTTCAAAAAAACAAAATTAAGAGAGACTTTTGCCTTAGACAAAATCTGTTGTTAAAAATCAGCCCTTTAAAAATGATGATGTACTGCTTTTTGCTTTTTACAGGTAATTTGTGCTTGAAATTAAAGCAATAAAAACATTTTCTCAAAAACCCCCACAATTTTTTTACCACGGATAGAAAAGGTTTGCTTAAGTGAAGGAATGGAAATCATTTTCGCTGAACTCTGAATTTTCGAAAATTTAAAATTTAAAAATAATGCGAGAAATTGGGTGCTCTTGTTGTACCACTAGTGTGGTGGTTACTAGATGTGGTTCTCTTATGAATTAGATTTAAATTAATAATAAAAACAAATTTTAATAATATATTAAATTTATTAATATGTACACTTATCTGCCGTCATTTATTCTTTCCGTCGTTTTCAAAACCAACTGCATAGCAACTGTAGTTGGTCTTCGTCGTTTTGTTTTCTTACTTGGTCTTTCTTAATCGGTCAAACGAAAGCATCGTTGCTTCATTAATACGAACATATATTTGAGAGAGAGTTTATACGAGTATACGATGCAGAGATATCCCTGCATCTTGAGGTTGAAGTTAGTAAGTGAAGTTAGCAAGTGTTTTTCAAGTTGAAAGATCGATTATTAGAAAGTGTATATAAAAGCAATGTTCAGTAATCGAGTAACACATGTGATGGGTTCATACACGAAGAAAACACATAGAGGGAAAGGTACAGATAGAGAGAGGGGGAGAACACAGAACAGATAGAGCGAAAGGGGAAAACAGATAAAGATGAGATATATACTCTAACGCAAGATATTTACGTCTGATCAAATGCTCTTATCGAGCATTATGATCTCTTGGGGCAGGATCTTTAGGGTGTGAGAAAGTTTTACCAAAATACAGAAATAGGTAAATCAGTGCGTATATTCTTCCAAGGATACAACCATTTACAACAGACACTGGACAAATACAAAACAAACACCAAATGACGAATAACACATTCAAATATCTCACAAGAAATGAAATGACCCTTTGCAACGTTTTGGCAAAATTACAAACACCTCTTTAATATTTTAACTAGTTAATTCTTCCTAATTAATTGGCTTCTAGAAGCATACGTGCACAGTAGTTACTTGCTTGATCAGCACCGTTAAAAAATATATTAATTTACTTTGTTCAATTACCACAACACAAAATGAAATTATGTCTTACTTCTATTAAATTTCCTTATATCTATTTTCGAAAAAATCATACGTATGGTTTACGGGCTTGTGTTTTTTACAGAAGTTTTAAAGAAAACACTTTTTTGATATCAAGGGACTCCAAAACGTCTATTTCTGTTGAAATCTCGAAATCGATTTTCCGCAGCATGACATAACTTTCCCTACACTACGTATATTACTCCGAATATATTTACGTATACGGGAAAGTAATAGCATTGCAGCTTTTAATTCAAACATTCAGATATAATATATTTAAATAATAGAATTATCAGGGGAATCATCCCTTTAATGTTATCTTGGGGCGCATCGTATCCTGCCCTAACTAAGCGTATTTACGTCTCTGCTGATCGAGAACACGCGACTTATAGTGAACCAAAGCTACCTTTGCATTAAATCTGAGACGAGTAAATGGACGTCATATAATAATTCATACCGACACTGAACTCTGTTGTTGCACGTTTATTATTTGCTACAATTTGAAATAGTTCGTGATCTTCAACGAAATTCTGAAAGCGGTATTTTAGTTGTCAGATCGGCGATATATTGTTCTTGACTCATTTGTCCCTTTGAACGCGAGGCGGCGCTCGTTTCCGAAGGAGGAAAGGTGTTTCCGTTTCTCGACGCTGCGGAGCTGGTGGCGCCAGAAACAAAGGCGCGCAAAGAAGCAAGGTCTACCAGAGGAAGAGGCAGGTTACCATGTGACATGAACGGGCTTCGAAGATGGAGGACGGAAGTAGACCCAAAGAACCACTGACAGGTGCTAGAAACTTGTTTAGAGGTGGGCGTGCAGTACAACGCGGATGGCGGCCAAGCAACTTCTCTTTACATTGGTGTTTATGAAGACTGACATTCGTGAGAAACTGTTGACGGAATACTGCATTTGGATAAAGTAGAAGGATGTAATAAAAGGTTCTTCACATCCATTGTATGATTTAAATAAGAGAGTTGCAGAATTACCATTAAGGGACAAATAAAAGGTAAGCATGGTTTCATGAAGGAAATACTGAAGTAATCGAAATTTTACGTTTTGTTAACAACGAAAGAATTATTTCAGTTTGTATTTATATTTTGTTATTAGTAATTATTCTTAATATTTCTAATCTTCAACTCTTTTCCATCAACATTTTTAATATTATTTATTTTAAATCTACCATTTTAAAAATATGTAACTCAGTTACCTTACAGCTGGCACCTTGCCTAGAAGTTAATATAATTAATTTAAACACCCTAAAAAATTGTATTACAATTGAAGGGCAGTAAATAAAATTTTAAAAAGTTTATTTAGAATATACAAATCCCAAGGAATTCCACTATCGTGAATGATTACATTAATTATTGAAGAATTATAATTTGAAATAATACTTGAGTAAACTTACGTTTTAATGTATTTTGAATTTTATTTATTTGCGTGGGCGTCTCTATAATCTTTAGCGTATGAAATTTTGGTTTGAAATTCGCGGGAGGACTGTTACCTCTTCAGAATTTCTGCATAAGGTATAGGTTTTTTTAAAAATATTGGTTTATTGAAGTTACCAAAGTCCAAACTAGTGACAAGGCGCGGCAAACGAAAACATTTTCTCCGCTTACAAAAGTTTATCTAGTATTCAACGGCTTCTTTAGGATACTACCAACAGTATTTTATTTGTTTAGTTCATGTTCATCCACCTGAGCACTAATATCAAGGTAGGTTTCAAGTACCCCGGTGTATCATATATTTAAGGACGTTTTGGAAATGTGAAGGAAATCTTTGGATTTAATATTGGAGGTGTAATATAGCATTGAAAAATATTTAAATGTTTGCAGTATTCAAAGTTTCAAAGTTTTTCAACACAATAAATACAACAAATTACAATAAATCAAAAACCAAACAGATGTACGCAACCACAGTGTACTCGGTGTATACTTTGTGAATATATAGTAAAGTTTATTTTATATATTCTAGTAGACAGACTTTTGCTTCTATTTATAATATAATGTAACACACACAGATATGTGTGTGTGTGCGTGCGCTACCAAGGTTATCAACTATTATGTGCTAATTGTATCGTAAGAAATGACATCAAATGTTCATTAAAACTTGCCAAACTAAAGATATTGAAAACGCTTTTGGTGAAAGATGCTAACATTAAACTCATTGGGAATAGCACATGTAATATTTTAAATGCGTGCCTTAATATTGAAATTCAATCATAAAAATTTGAATTCACCTCAGGAAACCGCAAATATTTTTATTACAAATACGTTAACAAGTGTAATATCCATATTCATATTTTTAAATAACCAAACATTTCCTATAATTAATACGTTAAATTATATCAAATTCTGGTTAACTTAGTGTTGAAAGTTCCTCCACTTTGTGAAAAATTACGAACATTTATGGGACTGTATTTATGAACATTCTGGATTTCCTCCAAAAATTATTAAAGTTTAATTTAGGTAATATTTCTGTCAATGATAAAAATTATTACAGTTCTCTAAAATAAATATTTTAAAAACCGAGTTTATACAAATATACAGAAGGAGTCACCTCTATTCCAATAGCACAGGGGCCCGTAATTCGTTGGCACTTTTCGATCTGATGAAAGGGCACTTGAATCCAAATGTTTCATATTTAAATTTAATTTTATTACAAATTAGCACCTTGGCGTTATCGCTATGGTCATGATAATATTTACTTCGAACCATTTTCAAAATAAAAAGATAGTGTCCTGATGTTTATCTGTTAGAATAGTGCTTCTTTAAATGAAATTTGTGAACGAGATGCGCTGTCAGAACCTGAGCGAACCGAAAGAGAAAAATAACAAACGTGATATGAAATACAAACCTCCGCAACCGTATACGACTGATACAGCCAAAAACTTACTAATTCTCTAGGAATAGATAATGCGCAGTCTACCACCCAAAACTTTTCCGATAAACATTGTGACGTTATTCTGGACATCTCTATTCACCCATCCAACATTCACCTCAATGTTTAATGCTATTCGAGAAAGTAATTTGGTTGAAACTTAAAAAGAACATCTCTGTTCTCTGAGCACTCAACTGTACTTTGTACCTGTGATCTTAACTAAAGTACAGGAGTGCACCAAGTCGGCTAGAGATACCTCTCCATACTGTCATATGCTTTATATAGGACACAAAATCTTGTTTTAACCCTCCTGATTTGTAATGAATTCATTTTAGTTTCTCCCTTTTTCTCTGGAAAGTAAAATTACATGCTCATTACATTCTATTACATTACATTCTATTAAAATTTTCCCGTCGTAAATTTCTTTAAGGGTCCCAGCAAATCGTTCCGTATTCCATTAAATCAGTCATTTAATACCTCTGACATTATTCAACTATATTAATCTTACATTAAACTTCAATAATCATTATGAAAAATCCAGAACGTTCATAAACACAGTCCCAAAGATGTTCGTACTTTTTCACAGAGTGGAGGAACTTTTAACTCTTAGTTAACCAGAATTTAATATAATTTAACAATTATTTTTTAGTGTATTAATTGTAATAAATACATGGTTATTTAAAAATTAATTAAATATTGTACTTTTTTATCATATTTTTAAAAAATATTTGCAGTTTCCTGTGCTGAATTCAAATTTTGATGGATGAATTTCAATACTCAAGTTATCCGCTTAAAATATTACTTGTTTCCCCAACGATTTTAATGTTTCAAATTTTTTATGAATCGTATTTTCAATATCTTTTGCTTCGCAAATTTCAATGAATATTAGATGGCATTTCTTGCAAAACAATTGGGACATAACTTGATATTCCTGGTGGCAGAAGAAAAAAGATGGGCTTAGCTTTTACACAAACAAAGTCTTGAAGATCCACAAAATTTTAGCGGTTCACACATTTTATGATGCGTACAACACATTCGGGCAATACAAGTAAATGACAACTTATTTATTGACAGCTATGTCCTTTAGTGGATTGTTTATATTATTGCAAAATGTAAAAAATTTACATACGTTTTCACGTGAAACATTTGAGACTAACAGGAAAATGTTTAGCGTGAATTGCGAATTACGAAGATGGACGGAATCTGTAACCTACAATTGACTTGAATAACAATCTAACTTTTCTTGCTTCAAAGCAAAAATCTACTTTTGCCCTCTTTGTTTCGAGTTATAATTTCACCCTGATTTTAGGAACAGTAGGACTTCTAAAAAAGCTTACTCTGTCGCTCCTGGCCCCTTTTACCCCGGTCCACTATCGGGCACAACTTGGTTATCATAAAAATACAACTTTATTTTAGAAAAATCTCATTGAAAGAAAGCGAACCCAAACAAAACAAAAACGTTTTAAACCATTATAAGCAAAGTAAAACCTCCAACGAAGAATGTTCATGACGTTTTAATAGAAAATCGACACTTATGTCGTGTTTTATCCGTAAGCCCTCGGCTTCTAGCAGCCTGCCGTTTGCCACCCCGAGGCGACGGTGCTGCCCTCCGAACTACTAAAAGTCACATGTTTTGACATCTCTATACCTCTACCTGTAACATGTTTTGCACACGTAACACGGAAATGGATGTAGTGTTCAAAAAGTTATCTACGTAATGCTGCAACGAAAAAAACAGCGATTTTTCGATAAGAAACCTCTTATTGGCGGGCAACGGTAGCGATTGATTGATAAGTGATTCTGAGCGCATCAGCTGCTAAGGCTATCAGTCCCGAAGTGTAGTGCGTGTTTTATGGCCGGAGGTGGCGGTGATTTTTCCCCGCTGTCTGACGAGATCCAGTGCCGACCTACGTCGGGGATTTTCCCCAACCAGGTGTCTCCCACATGCGGGGCACAGCTCCACATGGAACAAACTCTGAGGTTCCAAATGGACTCCCCGACATGTGTGATGTGTATTGCACGTGAGTGTAAGTGTATGTAAGCAAGGGGTGATGTCTGGTCGAGGAAGAGAAAGGAAAGAGCGCGCGGTCCATGGTCCGTTAGGGTACTGCTCCGGTATTCGCCGGGTGTTGATACCCTTGTATTTTGGGCCAAATTACTTTTGTACCTAAGTTTATTCTTCGCTACACATTTCCAAGTGGAGAAAGAGGCCCTGGTCTTCGTCCCTCACGTTGCACATTTAACATATTTGGGCCTGAGCATGAGCGCCTCTGGCACATAAAGTTTGGGGAGGACATCAAAAGGAATGTGAACCTCTCCGGAATTTTAGGAAAAGCTTCAGCAATATTTGTATTGATTTATGAAGTTAGCAAGATCGCAGTACATTAAAAAATAGAAGTTATGACGCCGCTCTTCATAAATTCAATAATACCTCACAATAAACTTAGAAAAGGCGGTAGTACAGAGAGCCATATGTAGCAGGTGCCGGTGCTCCTCTGAGATTCGGCGCCCCCCTACGCGCCCATGGCCATGTATTTTGGTTTCCCCCTCCGGCATCTCCCCCAGCCGGGACAACCTCCCATCTAGTCTCTCGACATATGTGGTAGTGTACTGCATGTAAGGGGAGAGAGGAGAGGGATGGGAAAGGATAGAGCGCGCGCAGCCCATGACCCATCTGTTAAGCTACTGCTCCGGCGTTCGCCATGTGTTGATCGGAGAAATTATGAAAAACTACCGATCAAAGCAGCCAGGCTCTAGAATTCTTCTTCAAACATTCGTTCCAAAAAATCTCGGAGCTCAAATCCTAAGACCTCCCAGTCAACAATACTGCAAAGACTACGTCCATGCTGCCACTGAGCCATGCAAGCAAGAAATACCCTTCTAGATTATCCGCATGTCCTTGGTTTCAGGGGAAGCAAAAGCCGACATCACGAAAGTGCATTAAATTAATTCGAATAGCGAATGGAATGAGAAAACGATTTCCTTTCGCACTTTTTCGAAAGTAAGGAAATTTCTATAAATATTATATTTGCAGAAAAGGGGTTGAAGTGCAGTACGTCATTCATCTTTGTCAAAATTCAGTTTCATCTCATGGAGAACGAGTGAGTACTTTTATAATACTTTAGAAACGTCCGTTTCTATTTTTTACAAAAATGCTTCTTTTCTTCTGTTCGATTTTGACCAACTAATTACCACGTGAAATAACTCGCACGATGCCCTTTCTTACTTCCTTTTTCGCTATGGCATCCCTTGTCCTCCCTTTTTCTTGTCGTACCACACTGTGTCCTTTATGTTTTCCTAAAAACTTTTAAATTTTGTAGTAACTGTTTGTCCTGAAACCGGAGCTTTATATTCTCTGTCAAATTTCCATTATTATTATTATTATTATTATTATTATTATTATTATTATTATTATTATTATTATTATTGTTGTTGTTGTTGTTGTTGTTGTTAATGGTGTTATTGATGTTTCGTTGTTGGGCTTCTCTAAAGAAATATCTTATGTTCATGAACGAGAGGGAAGAGGAGAGAAGACGGAGAAAATGAATAGTACAAAACTAATTTTCAATATTTCTTTAAAATTTAGGTGATTTGAATTAAAATAATTTGCACTTAATTCTTATCCCTGCGCTCCAAACGCATCTCCCATACTCCAAACGCCGCGAGACTGTAGAACGGAGTACTTTGGCACAAGAGACGAATTTTGGGAGGGGAAATTCAAAATGTTTTCACCGAATATGTCATATTACAGATTTTATAAAATGTTGCAGGCTACACTCAGCTCATACTCCGATACAATTTTATTCGTTATAATGATAATCCGGAAATAATCTTGCTTGAAAATCTCGTGACAAGTTAAAATTAATAGTTACTGAAACATTTTAGAGGGGGGAATTTCCCTCCCCGTGGATCCACTCCTGTAATTTGGCATACAATTCATGGAAAATTAGGTGTTGCACAAACTCAAGACTGTGGTATGTCATAGCCCGCTAGTAGGCTGAGCATATTAGCGGGCTAGGGCTGTTGATCGCGGAGACCGAAGGTCGGAGCTTCGTCTATTTGTATATGCGTAGCGAAGCGTCATCCGAACCTTAAAGTAGTGACTCGCCAATTCATTTTCCCGGTGTAGTGAGTCGATTCCTCCACGTGGAACCGTACATGGGATGAGAGCCAAATACTTTTAATGACATTGTAAGATTATGTATTTCCATGTTAATAATAAGGTAGAAATGCAGTTTGTGATCGGATTCGTTCACGCGCGCGGTTATGACGCTTCGCTAGGCGGTCCTAGTTGAGGACGAGGCTCGGGCCTTCGGTCCTCGCGTTAACATAAAACATCGTTCAGTCTGTCCAATATAAAATTATCAACGTATTTTATGCGAATTCTCACATTTGGCGTGTATATGTTCTTTATGTTCTCAACACATTCTCGCATAAATCTTCTCAAGATCCGTTCTGTTGTTTTCTGCTCCACGCGGTTGAACGAATCGGACCACAAACTACATTTCAACCAATAATAATGGTAAAGTGGTAAGCTATTTTTTTAAAATTTGTTGCGTCATCGTTGACGCACCGCATCTCTTTAACCCTTGTTGGGCGTTGAGAGCCTTCCCTGGAGTAATCCTCCGTTTGTAAAGGGAAGTAATTACTATCTGAGTTAAGTCTCGTCACGTCGCAGTCAGTCAGTGCCTTTTATCTCTTCAGTCAGGGGCTCGACGCCGTTCGATCCCGGGGTTTCTAACCGGTCACCCACCAAGAACACTGCGAGTCTCGAATTCATTTTACCTCCGTTACTTCATGGAGCGTAGTAAACGAATTCGGCTAACGATGCCGGCTTCAAAAATTCCTTCACACCTTTTTTTAAAATTAAACATTAAAACATTATACAAATTTAATTAAATTCACAATACGTTTACAGGTCTAAATTCAGTAATACAATACATTTCTCATTCCTGAGGCAGTGAATTTAACTTATTAGCTTTTTAAGTTTATTTCTGTATAAAGCAGATGCTATAACAAGTATGTAAAACTTTGTTTCCATTGCAGAACTTGTCCTCCTCTAGAAACACTTTACTTCTTACATTATGATGAAACGAACATCACAGAAGTGAATGAGTTAAAAAAACAGTGGCCATGTGAAATCCGAATATATTGGCATTCAGCAAATATACAAAATTTAGCATCTATAGTATGGTTTCTTTTTAATTATGCCATTATTGCATTAATAATAATAGGTAATAAGAATATATGTCTTTTATGAGAAGCTGTGCAATACTTAAAAGATAATATGACTAATAAACATGTATTTCTAGGTTTAGTGATTAATATTTGTTCTCTCATCATATTGAACTCTCCACCAATTAACAAGTCTAATATGTCAGTATATCTCAAAGCACTTGCAATTGCGGACATGGGAGCTCTTATTTTCAGCATTGGTGTAGGAGTTCTTCGAGCAAAGAGCATATTAATTAACGATATATTCATTGTAAGTTGTGAAAAAAAATATTGTGCATGATTAGTAATAAAGAATATAATGATTATAAAAGTTAACAAAATCACATGAAATGTTTGTAGTCTTAAGTAAAGTGTCAACTCTGTTTATATAAAATGTGACACTTGGGTAAGTAAAAATACCATTTCTCAGGAAGTGGTCTCACTGGTGAATTTTATGCAAAATGTAATAAATTAATTGATAACATATTTTTACATTCTCTTTTGACTGTTCTTATAACTCTGAGAAAGCATTTAAATTTCCACAAACAATAGATATGGAAATTTAAAAGCATATACTGATATTAATTTTCAATATTATGCTGACAATATACCATTCTAAAGGGAAACTTTTTAATGGAGGTAAGATTTAATACTCTTAGTGTTTTTAAAGATGAACTAATAAATGAAAATCAGTAATTTGGTTACTTAGGGGCTGTCCCTAAATTATGTAATACAAATTTGGAGTATTTATCCCCTGTAATATCCCCTTATCCCCTGTAATGCACCTATAACATGTGCTTGAACCTCCATCTAATAATTACGTTACGCTTGAGAAATAGTTGGTAGTGCAGACTGTGCATAACAATAAGTTAGGGGACCATTTTTTAATGAAGAAGTATGCATAGGCAAGAAAATTTCTGACAAGCTCTGCATGTGCTCTGGTGGGTGATGCATAGGCTCAGAGTCTTCTGCACCAAGTAACTGAATTCTGGAATATACTACGGATTCAGTTTTGAATATTTTCTTTCTAATCTAAACGATTCAATCAATATATCATTGATGAAAAATATTTTCATTTATTGTAACAATTTATAGAAAATAACTTCTCTCATTTATTTTATTTTTAATTTAATTTGTTAATATAGTAATATTTTAGTATATCACTGAATAAAAGGAATTATTTCAGCAAAGGTTGAAAGGATTTAAAATTAAATATCAGCATCAAATATCACTAAACTATGACCCCCCTACTCCTATGTAACACAGGGTAATGTTGCCTCAACCCCCCTCTTAAGTATTACATACTTTATGGATGGCCCCTGAATCAATTTTGAGTTAAAATAATTTCACATTTACAGACTCACAAATGGATGTGTACTCTTCACAAGATGCTGCTTTCATTGTTTGTTTACTATTCTACATGGTTAGTTGTTATATTTAGCTTTGAGAGATTTCTAATGATAAAAAATCCCTTTAAAATACACTCATGGCACAATGAAAAGCCAGCAAAAATAACTGTCATAATACTGGCAATAGCAGCACTAATTTTGGCCATTCTACGATCATTAACAACAGGTAGGTCCTAGTACGCTATAAGCAATTTATTCAAGAGTATATTGTTTTGAAGACCTATACATAGGCACTTTTGATCATTCAATACTACACAATCTCTTGCAGGATTTGAAAAGGACAACATGTTTGGATTTAAACCTTGTGGGGCAAGAGATCATGCTCACATAAGCATAAATATGGTGCCTATCATCTTGGTGAATCTTATATTACCAACAATCCTAATTATTATTGCAAATGTTTGTACAGCTCTACATTTACAACGCTCCACACATCTCAACAATAGTTTGAGAGGTAAAGTAGTTGTATGTAGTACAATAAGTATTGAAAAATGGGGAGGTACTTACAATTTTTATAATTCATTTTGTATTTTTTTAAAATTGGTATATTCATTTTGTGTGTTGTTTTAATAGCTGAATTTTAATTACAGCAAATAAGGAGAAAAATTATTATCACAAAATAACAAGAATGGTGTTAATTATATCTTTTGTTTATGTGATATTTTACTTGCCTTTTGGAATAGCTGCGTGCACAGAGCTATATTTCAGAAATAATGAACCACCTTCTACAGAACATGCTCTTTATATCAAATGGTTTGTATAAAGTACCAGAAATGTTCAAGGTTTCTTGCTGTACATTTGTAAGTTTTCTGAACCCATCTATTAAAAAAAGTGTGAAGATTTCTGGAGAAAAAAATAACATTAGACAAATATTGTGGTTGTGTCTGCAAGCTTGTTTCTGTATAGTATAGTAATCTGGATTTTATGCAGTGATGATGTGTACATTTCATGAAGAATTGCAAAATTACATTCCATTTTCATACAATATGACTTAGTTCCAATTTTAGTGCCAGCTATATAGGAGTAATATGAAATTAAGTTTGTTATGTTAGACATTTAGAATTCTTTCAGACAGCCTTCATGCAGCACATTGCATGTATTTTGTGAATGTACATTCTCACCAGAGAAAAGGCTGTGGGAAAGCACATCCCATAGTTTCCAGTCTTTTAAATTTCAGAAAAGAATGGTATGAATAAGCAAATGCCATCCACATGATTTCTGCAAGCCTTTCTTCATTCACCTTGGAATCTTACTCTTGCCTTGCCTAAATCTATTTTTTTCAAAATTGATGTACTTGTGTGGAAACTTATTTTCATTCAATACAGATAATCATACTTATTACAATATCATAGGGTTCATATGCACGTGCCTGTGTCAACAGCTCAATGCAAGAAATCCACATGTAATAGTCTACATGAATGTTACCCACATGTTGTAGGAATCATGTTAAGGAGTCAGAATTAACAATTTAATGCAATAAATCCACATGTACTATGTTACTTTACAACACATATTAAACAAATAAAAACAATACATAAGTTTAGGTAGCAAGTAAAATCTTTTCTTCTATTCAACTCTTTCTTTACAATTAAAGATTGTACTGACCATCCAAAAGGAAAATCATATTTATTTTAACAATGATATTTAATGATTTGTACATTTTAAATGACAAAATATGCCTGTAATTCAACTTATAAGTTGATAACCCCATCTCCTTCAGGTTTTTTAGTCTCCAAAATCCATTGAGCAAATGTTGAGATGGCACCTTTGCTTCTGGACATAAATGTAGCTTCACCATGTGCATGTTTTCTAGAGTTCTCCTTTTGCAAGTTGTGATTGGAGTAGAACAAGGTAGATTGCTGCTGTATTAGCAATACTATAAAAACAAATCTGTAGTGCATTTACCAGGGCAAATAAGATTTCTAAAACTTTGGAGAGAAAAAAATCTTGTTTTAAAATGTTGCTAACATCAATTTATTGGTATTTTATTCATCATTGAACAATGTAGGGCCTCTGGTGTGTGCGTGTGTTTTTAATTTAAAAACTAGTGGTACTGCCAATGCCAAAATACTATCTTGCATTGATTCAAGCTCCGCAACATTACACTACTACATAACCAGTAGAAGTGTTGTCAAGCAGCTAATTATTTTACTGAGACTCAAAATTAGATTAATTCATTTACTTAAATCGGTTCATACAGATGTACAGAAACTTTACTATTAATTTGACGAGACAAATGTTTTACAAATCCGAAAAGGAAGTTTTAAAAAATGTTTAAAAGTGACAAATTCCAAAGGCATGTACAGAAACTTCCTGTTTATTTGTATATGTAATGATTGCATTTGTGGGTAGATGTGTTTCAAATTATTTTCAATAAAGTTCCTCGAATCTCTAGTAGTTTTCTACACAAGATTTGTCAAATTAAAATCTCCTTGGGGGACTCGAACCGACGACCTCTTGGTTTCAGCTGATGAACCCAAACATATCACTTAACAGGTTCGCTGAAGATAACAGGTTCGCTTTTTTCTCAGTGTACGCTTATCATCAAACAAATATCGTGCATTAGTTACAATATATTTTACATTATAATGGCAAAACATACTTACATAATATTATATAATAAAGAGTATTACTCAACATCATTCGTATACTTCCACTTTAAAAAAAATTTAACGCGCAGTTTTTGGTTTCTAACACACTGTATATCTACGCTAGAAATGTTAGTCACATGACGTTTGAACCCCTACGTTTCGCCGCGTTAACAAATTTCTTCTTTTGAAGATCTGTTAAAGAAAATCGTTTTACATGGACAGCGACCTAAAGTTTTCCGTTTGCCGACTACGCTTTCATACACTACAAGTACAACACATGATTTTTGTCGCGTTGCGGACCTACGAAACTTCGTTTCGTGAGAAGCACCAAGTTTTCGGCATTCGAAATATTTAAAAAAACGCTAGGAAATTTGTAATGAAAATAATTTATTTAATCATAATATACGTATGATCCTTGCAATTCTAAACAATACGGTACATTACAATAAAATACGCTCTCAGACCATTACTTTCAATTTAGAGGACGGTGCGAATAGTTAGAATTTGGTACAGCTCCCATTTTGTACGCTATTTTGCTAATATACACGAAAATTCGCATATAAAATCATCTGTAAGCTTCAGCATTATTCTCTCATAAGATCAGTCTCAATTAGTTCTAAAAAGCTCTGTCGCAAAATCTTCATCATCTACATTTATACTTCTTTGGATTTTCTTTCCACTTCCATGTTTTTGGCCCCTAAGAAGAAGAGATCGTCAGTCTAATTGTGTTCACTTCTACTTCTGCAACGTTCTATTTATCGTTTTGTAGGTGAATCTATATAAACATTACTGTTTAAGGGCAACTGTTTTGTATGTTTATGCGAAAGGTGTTAAGTTTAATAAAAATTAGTTGTTCGCCATATTAATTTGAAAATCGGTATTTGCACGCCTAAGAACGTAACTGAGAAGGCGGACTTAATAAGTTAAATGTGCGTTCATTTTGTAGCATTACTCACAGTTTGGTTTTCTCCGTATTCCCTTGAAGTTCTTCAAATTTAACAAGTATGCCAGAAGACACCACTTTTTCGGAAATTTTTTAGAATCTTCTGGCTGGATCCGAAAACAAATTATCAGTTCCCCACCAGGAGACTGAGGCGCGTCCAATGACACTTCATATGTCTCGATTGGTGCATGGGGAGTGGTGGATCTGCATACACGCAGGTACTCAGGTACTATGTAGGGGCTAGTTGAATGTGGCACGCCGACGCTGTACTCGTAAGCTGATTTAAAAGTATTTTCATGCGTTGAAAATTTATGTCATTCACAGCCTTGTTCAAATAAGTTCTATTTTTCAGTTTATTTATCTTGATTAATAGTATTTGCGATTAGAATTCCTACAAATAATAATTCCCTGACAAGACTCGCACCAGACAAACGTCTCTCCGAAGAGCTGGGCCACCAATTTAGCCAACTCAGTCATCCCATTAGGACATTAAATGAATACTTCTATAATAGTAATAAGTGTATGGTGGTTTCTGTTCTAGCTTTACGGAGCCGAGTAATTGAGACAATATGAAAAAAAGTTTTTCGGGCGACAAGGGTAGAGAGATTAGAAAACTAACTAGGGCGAGAAAGTCTGTGCTAATCTATAGCACCATTGGATTATTATTTATTTATTTAAATAGCTAATTTGTACAACAAACTTTTCCTGGAGCAAAAATCTCGTCAATTCAGTAGTTTTTAAATTCTTTTTTCCATTTTCGAAAGAAAAAAAACTAGCAATACCCGGATATGGGACTGGCACCATATTTCTTATTGTCCCTTTTTACATATGTGAAGAAAACTTAAAGAAAAAAATTGGAGTGTTTTTTGAGCAAAATTTTTTTCGGTTTCAAGCGCAAATTTCACAAAAAACTACTTACTTTTACCAAAAATGTACATGGCCTTTTTTAAAGACCTAATTTTGTACAACAGATTTCCTCTGAGAAAAACCTCTATCATCAATTCAAATTCAATGTTGTAGTTTTAAAACATTTTTTGTTGTTGCAATTTTCGAAAAATGGGGGAAGTCAGCAAAAATGAAGCCTACACCATTCTCTTAAACGTCCTTCAACAACAAAGTTAATCAAAAAAAGTTTTTTTTTAATTTTGAAAATGTCTGAGGGGCTTCATGTAAAGTACCCCCCCCCCAAAAAAAATTAAAATATCAGTTTCAAATGCCAGGGTCCGCGACATCAGCCAGATCGATTGAGGAATATCAGTTTTGGAGAAAATCGGCTGAACAGTTTAGCCGCTAGCGCACATCCCCTTGAATTTGCAATCGATATTTTAATTTACAACACAGAATAAAGGATTACACGGATAAAGCTTTACACAGAGTCCCTGTGACATTTTCAAAATTTAAATACAAATTGCTCCATCATTTTTTTATTCAACTTTGTCATTGAATAGTGTAAAGAACGTTTAAGAATAGTGACGGTCTCATTTTCGTTGAAAACCCCAATTTTTCTGCAAAACTGCAAAAATTCAATTTTTTTTCGGCGTCTTCCTACAACTAAACACTAAAGATAAAGATAACAAAAGGAAAGAGAGCTATGTACAGCGGCCGGGCAACCCTCGAAATAGGCATCAATAATTCATAAAAAGAGTAAGCAGGGGAAACGAAACACCCGATTGTGATTACGTGGTAAACCGAGGGCGGTACACGAGACACCATTACAGTACATACGAATAGTGTAGGGTAAACCAAAAGTATTAATGATTTATATATAAATGAAAAGCATAAATATGTTTAATGTATATATTACGATAAAAAATTGGTCAGTGGGGTTTCAAAACATTAACTGCTTAGAACCTCGCAGACTGGAGATCATTGGAAAAGTTTGAAGAAAAAATTTTAAATGGTTTTTGAGAAAATGGCGTTGTCCGTTCTGAAAATGCGGAATTTTGAGCTTATTTTCATAGAAAACTGTTGAGTTTTTGGGAAACTTTATCTAAGAGTATTTAAAGCACATGTACTCATTTCATTAATGTAAACAAATTGCCTCTAATGTAAATATTAATGTGACAGACCAGTAGAAAAATTACATTTTTATAATTTATGAAAAAAAACAACAAAAGAATATACCAATATGTCATTTATGTCATTTTATAGAGTGCATTATCTCTAAATAACTTCCAAGTGAATTTCTTCAATATAAAAAAAGTCAGTTCTTAAAAGTTAGATATTAGGTTCAGCATAGATTAAAAAGTACTATGAATTATTTGGATTACTTAAAAGGATATTATTAGAAGTTAAATAATAAATTCTAATTTATGAAAGATAAATGCTTTTCTGCTTTCATTATGATCATTTTGGTCTTAAGAAATGACAATAGAAAGTTTTCATACTTTCTATAACTTTATTATCTAAATTAAAGTAATTTTGAACAAGGGTTGAAAGGTGTCATAGAAGCAAATATATAAATGAAAAAATAATACTCTGTATTTGTGTTGTGATTTCTTTGAAGGATACAACTGTTGCAGCAAACAACTTCAAAGTTAAATAAATTTTATCCACTTTGGTTATTTTATGTCAAACTTTATGAAATTGAAATTACTTTCCTAAGTACTTTGAGAACTTATGTCCTAGAAAGTCCATTAACTAGCTCAAAATCCAGTCTGTCAAGTTTGCCAGAATGAGGAGTAAAATGTTTTATTTATGAAAATTTTACATAGCAAATTTGAAAAATTAACTATGTGTGTATTGTAACATCTTATATGGTAACATTTGATTGGTTATCATTTTCAACACACTTTCATCAAAAATTAACTTCATAAAATTGAAAAAGTTCTTCCTTTTAAT